CATCGCTTTGATGATGGTTTAATTAGATCCGTTGTTCTGGTAACCATAAAACTTGTTTTGCACTGCTCTCACGCGATCCGGTCAGGGAAATGGTATAAAGGAAGTGTGACAGGCAACTTAATCTTTGGAAGTCCTGTGATGGATCAGCCGCGCGCTGGTGCCATACGCCATTTTTGATGGGATTCTTCTTTACCTGGGTCGAAAACGACTTCCCGGCCAGTGTCACGGTGAGAAGTTATTTCATATCAATCTGTGTGTTAAGAGTGTACATGTTTTTTTTTTGCTTGGCTGTTTTCTGTGGCAGGTTAATAAATGACACTTATTTATCCTAGCAGTGACAGCTTCTGTCTTTCATTTTTTTCCCTATTTGTCTGAATATGTGCCGACCGTTTCACGAGCCCTTTTGATAAAGAATTTCACAATACAACACCAGACAGCCACTCTCATGTCAGCTTTGAATCCATATTTTTGGCCAGATTATTCTGTCAAGAACCTAATTTTTGATTCAGAATAAGCCAGACTGAAACAAGAACAGGTTTTTTTTCAGCTGTAGAAAAGTCAGGATCCAACTGAGGTGACAGATCCTCACAGGCAGGAGGGGGAGAGAGCCAACTTCGCAAACAGGAATAAATTAATAATAAAATTAAATTAAAAATAAAACAGAATAAGACTTTTTTGATGACAGGTGGCCACCTGAAGGAGTAGGACAGGATGACATCATCACCACAGAGTGGAGCATAGCAGCTGCAGAGGAGTGCTGCTATAATGTAGCTTGTGGGAGCACCGAGAGCAGGGTCTAAGAGGTGAAGTGGGGTTGTTCACAGGAGTCAGAGTTCCAAATAAATAAGTCCAAAACGTAGGCTGTGAGGCATAGACGTGTTAACAGAAGCAGGGTCCGTTACCGTGGGCAGAAAGAGTAATCCAAATCAGGCAAGGAGCAGGCAAAGTGATAAATCCAGGAAGCAGGTGGGAGGCTGTAATCCAAATAACAAGGCTTGCGGTTCAGGCATGAAACAAGACACTAAGATGGCTTGAATATCAGGGACCGTGAAAAGTTTAATAATCTGGCAGGGAACTAGTGAAAATGAAGCTCTTAAATAGTGAGGAAAACAAGTACAGAGAATCAAGGCTGATGAGCTAACGTGTAAAGTGGGCATGGCTGACTGACAGGAACAGAGACAAGACAAGAATGCTGTGAGTGTGGCAGGGGACAGAGGATGTAATAAAGACATGAAGAGGCAGAGATGTGAGCAAATGGAAGGTAAGCAGAGACCACTGATCATGACACAATCTGATCTTATTTCTTGCTAAGTTCCATAGCCATAAAAGTAAAATAATGCACAGTTGTTAATTCTATAAAGTTATGTAAAGATGTCTCTGAAAAAGGAAACTCCTCTCCCTTGAACAACTGAGACATTCCACCCCCGTTTCAGTCCCTGGGACAGTTTAAACCTTGTTCTCAGCATCTCTAACTCTGGAATGTATCAAAAGAAACTTTTATGGTTTGCAAAACAACCGATTCCAATAAATCTGAATAATATTGGAACGGCCTTTCTGTGAACCACAAAAATGGACGTTTGAGTTAACACAGATCACCTAGGATGTCCTGGTATCACCTTGTACCAACCTCCAACCAAACTATCCTTCAACGATCGTAAATAACAGAAAGCCTTGTCTCTGTTCAAAGGAATTCCAGCCTTGACACTTAGGTCCCCTTTCCTCCATGTAGAAAACTGACAGACTTTTATTCAAATTCTGGAAGAAGTAATAATGTTTTTCTATAATGAAATAATTGTTTACTGTGAATAACTAAATAACTTGCTGTGTGTGTTTCTCCTGCAGCTGACAAGAACCTGTGTAGCCCAAAAGTTTACAAACTTGTTTGCTGTTTATAAGGTTAACAAAGTGTCCTTATTGGTTTTAACCTCATTTAAAGTTGATAAGTGTCTTAAATGGTTTTATTTGATGACTTTTTCAACAGAGCAGATTAAAATAATACTTATTTAGTTGATAAAGTTCAGCCCTTCCATTCTGATTAGTTCAAATCGACCCCCTCTTTCAAATCAGAGGTGTGGTCAGTTGTTTACAAGAGAGGAAGACCTCTCAGATGAATTTTAGAAGATGAGATGAGATGAAAAGCAGTGAATAAAAAAAGATGAAGGAAGTTGAGAGAAGAAGTTGAACGAGAGAAGACAGGAGGAGAAGGAGTAAGCTTTTAAGACACAACCTACAAAAAAAAACTTCCAAGAAGAAAATTAGTTTCAAATTTAGCAAAGTTTGATGGAACTCTCTTCAGCGCTCCAGACACCTGCAGTTGTCATCAACAGAGTTAACAACAGCTGTCCAGAACTCCAGGAGATGCTCCGGTTGACCATTAGAGCCAGTGAACAAACTCATCACCTTGATGTCAGGGATGTGAAGGAATTTCCACCTTTACATCAAAGATCATCTGAGCAGAAAGAGTCCAACATCTGGTATCTTCAGGCGGCCTTCGAAGACGACTCCTGGTAGGAACAGCTGATCTGTACTCTGAAAGTTGACTCTGGTGTCCAAGAATTTAGATTTTAACTAAATTAGTATTAACTCAGTTGAGTAATTATTTTTCCTTAAACCTCAGACCAAAATTTAACTATTGAACGATAAAACGTTTTTCTTTTAGTTAAGTTTGCATGATTAATCTGCCCTACTGAAAATTCCAATTGTTCTACATTGCATCTTGTTTTGGTTTGGTTAAGCACATAGAATAATTTCCCTTAACTGTTAATTCCTGCTAACAAGCAATTTTTACGATCACGTTAATTTCCATAAAACTCCGGTTGTGAACAAAGCCTTCATTCAAATGTCAGAAATAATTTCCAACAGTTGTTTTATCATATATATTCAAATATACATCACAAAATTGTATTAAAGAGTGTGTGTTTTACTTATGAAATCTGAATCCTTCATATAAAAGAACTTGCAGTGTAAAAAGGGTAATTCGAGTTAATTAAACAATAACATCTGAACTGATTTTCAGACTTTCAGATTTTCTCTCAGAGCTGAGAGTGGTGCCCCTTCTAAATAAAATTCATAACCAATTTTTAATCATTATTAACCCTTCCCGCTACAATAAAAATGGGAATATTCAAAATAAGCAAACCTGCAGGATAATGTCTTGAAACAACTTATTTCTCTGATGATCACACATGAAAGGTAGTGGAGGGAAAATAATGTGTCACCAAAGATTATTCTTCTCAGTTCAGTTTAAACATCCAACCTGTCATCATCTCTTAATCCCACCAGCCTGTTCTGAGTCTCCAACATTTCTTAGTTGACACACATACCTGTTGCATCATTGTGACATGATGTTCACTAGAACTTCAGACAACAATTAGTGCATTACCCAAAAACTCACAATTTTGTGGCATAAATGTCACCAGATATGTATTATTTTTAATATACATGTTACAAATTGGCTGTGCATACAAATTCAGTCCAACTGCAATAAAGAATATTGTATATTTGCACAACTTTCCCACAATTTTGAGTTTCCAACTAGTCTCCATCGGTAGCAGACCTGTGAGAAACTGGCTTAACTCAAACACTTTAATTTCTCTCTCATTAGCATTGCATTTGAAGTGGAAAAAAAAAACTCCAAATATTTTTCTAATTTACACACTAATTTACATTTGTTGTGTATAAACTACACACCACTTCTCCAGCTAATGTCAAAGTTTAAGTAATGCCTACACACCTGGCAGCCATTGTGAATGAGAGCATCCATGGCCTTCTGGACGGCAGTGTTGGGTGGCTCACAGCCTTCCACCTGAGTCTTGAAGTTGTGTTCCAAGTAGGGGCCCATCATGTAATAGTTCTCACCCCATTCATCCACTGTGATCTTTGCCTTGGACTGGATGACGGTATAAATTCCTCCAACTACACACAGCATAATAAAAACAAAACATCATATTATATTACTTTAATATGTGTAACTTTATTGGTTGCATGCATTAAAGATCTTATTAAACTATAACAGAGCACTTTACCCTCAGCCTGCAGGTTTACTTGTTCATATAATTTCTAAAAGTAGAATGGAAGGCAGAGCTTTTAGTTATCAGACTTCTCTTGTGGAACTGACTTCAGTGCCCCAAGATCCTTAGATAGAGAACTTTACTAATTGGCTTTTCTACGTATGTGAATGTTCCAGTAAAGTGCCCTGAGACAACTTTGTTGTGATATGGCACTAAATAAATGAACTGAATTGAATTGAATTGAACTGAATTGAAGATGACTTTTGTTGTGACTTGGTGCTATATAAACAAACTGAACTGAACTGAATTGACTTCCAGTTTCTGTCTGCGAGTCTGACATTTTTCTATTTTTGTCTGAGTCTGACTTTCTTATTTTATAAATCTATAAATAGGGTTGGCTTGGGTTTCCTGACCTATCCCTTAATTATCCTTATGTTATATAGGCTTAGACTGCTGTAGAACAAACTCAAGGTCAAGGTTCTTTATTGTCATTCGCATCACATGTGGTAAATGAGGTGGAATAAATTGTGTACACAGTGTCCTAGTTACATCCAACAATAGCAAAGATATAAAGTTTAAAAAAACAACTGTTAATAAGGATCTAAGATATAAACTAAAATGCTAAAAAGGATCAAATATAAAAAGAAAAATGATAAAGAAAAACTGACCACATTTTCTCATGCTGCTGTCTATACGTTCTACTCAGTGTTTGTACAATTAGTGAAATACATTTAGTTTTTTCTGCTTGTCCTCCTATTGAAACTACACCTGGTGCAACACTTCTATGTTTGTGTGTGTCTTTTATCCAGTCCTTTTGACTCTTTGGTTAGAGGTTAAAGGTTGTACAAAGTACATGTTCTTCTTTTCATGTTTGTCCATCATTCCATTATTTTCCACTTGTTCCAGAATCAGGTTGTGGTGGCAGCAGCTTAAGCAGGGAGGTCCAGACATCTCTTTCCCCACTCACTTCTTCCAGCTCTTCTGTGAGTACCCAAAGGCTTTCCCAGGCCAACCGAGAGACTTAGTCTCACCAACATGCCCTGGGTTTTCCCCGGGGTCTCTTTCCAATGGGATATGCTTGGAGCATCCTTACCAGATGCCTGAACCCCATTAACTGGCTTCTCTTAATGTGGAAGAGCAGTGGTTCTACTATGAGTCTCTCCCAGCTAGCTGAACTTTTCACCCTATCTCTAAGGGAGAGTCCAGCTACCCTGCAGAGAAAACTCATTTCGACCACATGTATGTATGATTTCCTTCTTTTGGTCACTACCCATTTCATTTAATTCATTTATTTATTTCTATAGCGCTTTACACAACCACGGTGATGGTGATCAAAGTGCTTAACAAAAACAGTAATTAAAATGACAACAAGTTAAAAGCAACAAAAACCAATAAAATGACAAAAAAGAACCAGAAAGGTCACCACATATTTAAGTACTAAAAGCCTGTTGGAATAAAAAAGTCTTAAGCTTTGATTTAAAAAGGCCAAGTTCAGTAATCGGACATAGTTCAAGTGGGAGCTTACTCCAGAGACGAGGTGCGACTGCAGAAAAGGCACGGTCACCCCAGCGTTTATATTTTATCCTAGGAACAGAGAGCAGGAGCTGTCTGACCTCAGAGACCTGGAGCGGGCGGGGAAACTTAACATCTCTGTTATATAAGGAGGAGCAAGGCCATTCAGAGCTTTAAAAACAAATAATAAAAGTTTAAAATATATTCTAAAATGGACAGGAAGCCAATGTAGTGCGAGTAAAACAAGTGTGATGTGGTCCCATCTAGGAGTGTTGGTTAAAAGGTGAGCTGCTGCATTTTGAACAAGCTGGAGGCGACTCATTGATGACTGAGGTACACCAACATACAGAGCATTACAATAATTGAGCCTAGAACTGATAAAAGCATGAACAGCCTTCTCCAAGTCGCAACGGTTTAAAAAGGGTTTGACCTTTTTTAAAAGGCGTTGGTAGCCATAGGTGAGGACAGGAACATAGACCGACTGGAAAACACAGAGCTTTGCCTTACAGCTCAGTTCCCTCTTCATAATAACAGACCAGGCATAGAGTTTCCAATACTGCAGATGCTGCATCAATCCGTCTGTCAATTTCACGCTCCAGTCTTAACTCACTCGTGAACAAAACTCCAAGATACTTGAACTCATTCGCTTGAGGCAGAACCTCACTGTCAAATCAGAGAGGGCAATCCACCCTTTTCCAAATGAAAAACATGGCCTCAGATTTGGAGGTTCTGATCCTCATTCTAGCTGCTTCACATTTGGCCACAAAGAGCTCCAGTAAGAGATGAAGTTCATGACACAATGACAACAACTGGACCATATCATCTGCAAAAAGCAGAGATGAAATTCTGAGGCTACCGAACCAGACTCCCTCCACCCCCTAGCTGCACTGATAAATTCAGTCCATGAAAGTTATGAACAGAATTGATGACAACGGGCAGCCCTGGCAGAGTCCAACTCACACTCCAAAGGTGTGACTTACTGCTGGTAAAATACTCACACCTCTTGTATAGGGATGGAATGGCCTGGAGCAATGGACCCACAGAGCACACCCCACAGTGTACCTAGAGGAACACAGTTGAATGCCTTCTCTGAATCCACAAAACACATGCAGATTGGCTGGGCAAACTCCCATGACCACTGAAGAAACTTAGTGAGGCTAAAGAGCTGGTCCACTGTTCCATGACCAGGACAGAACCTGCATTGTTCCTCCTGAATTCAAGGTTCAACCATTGATCTGACAAGCTTCTCCAGTACCCTAAATAGACCTTACTGAGGAGGTTAAGTGGAGTGATGCCCCTATAATTGAACCTATAATTTACAGGTCTCTCTTTTAAATGAGTCTTTGTGACTCAGTGAGACTAACCTGTATAAATAAAGGTTGAATGAATAATTGAAACATATCTTCCAATCACCCTTTTGAAATGGGGAACCACTACTCCAGTCTGTCAGTCCAGTGGCACTGCTCGCAATGCCCACACGATGTTGCAATGGAGTGTCAGCCAAGACAGCAAAGTTCCAGTAAACTGTTTCCCCACAAAGCAGTAAACTTCTTAAGTGGACCAACCAATTTGCTGGAACTAAGATGGTTTCTAGGTGCCGTCCTGTTCTCTTCAAACTGATGAAGCCCTCTGGATAGAGTGCAAAATGTCTCTATAAAAAATAAACTGTCCATTTGACCTAACTGAGAATTATTGGATTTGATATCCAAAAAAGTTAAATCTGGTCCTCTGGATATTCAAAAAACAAAGCAAGGCAAAACAACAAAAAATGTAGCAATGTTTCGTCTTTCATCCGAAAGACTTCCTCAGTCTGAGGTGCTGTATTCAGCTCAGTCTTATAAATAGCACCTTCTCAGAGTGGATCAACCAGTTTTGCTGCTGACAACCAAAACCAGCTGTTCACATGATCAAGAAGGACTATCAGCCTAACATTGGATCATTAGCACACTGATGGCTGTTTACTATTCACAGAGGGCTGCGTGATACTAGCAATCACAGCATTGTAAGAGGGGGACAGTTGAACCCGGAGGCCTCCACCCCTGTTTAACGATGGATGATTTATTTTCACAAAGATGGCCTCCTTTACTCCTCTCTCAAACCATCGTTCCTCTCTATCCAGGATGTGAACATCTTCATCCCTGAAAGAGTGACCGATGGCCTGGAGATGAGTGTAGACTGCAGAACCCTGGCCTGATGATGATGATCTTCTGTGCTGGGCCATCCTTTTGGCCAGTGGCTGTTTAGTTTCCCCGATGTAAGACTGATCACAGCCCTCCTGACACTGAACAGCATATACAACATTACTCTGTTTGTGCCGGGGGACTGGATCTTTGGGATGGATCAGTCTTTGCCGTAATGTATTTTGGGGTTTAAAAGCCACTGGGACATTGTGTTTAGAAAATAAACATCTCAGTTTCTCTGATACTCCCTCAACATACGGAATGACCACTAGTCTGGGTCTGGTTTCCTCCTTTTCATCTGATGGCTGACTGGAGTCCTGTTTGGGTTTCTTCTCTGCTTTCAGGAAGGCCCCATTAGGATATCCACATTGCTCTAGAGCCTGTCTTGTGTGGGATTTCTCCTTCTGCCTGGCTCCTGAGTTAGTGGGGACGCTGTCTGCTCTGTGGTACAGAGTCCTGATGACTCCTAACTTGTGCGCCAAAAGGTGATGGGAGTCAAACTGCAAATACTGGTCTGTGTGGGTGGGTTTGTGGTACACCTCAGTTTGCTAATGTCCTCTATCAGAGACTGAGACCTCACAGTCCAAGAAAGCCAACCTGCCATTTTTTACATTTTCTCGTGTGAACTTGATGTATTTATCCACAGAGTTGATGTGGTCAGTAAAATGTTGGACTTCCTGAGATTTAATTTTAACCCAGGTGTCATCAACATACCTGAACCACTGACTTGGTTGTGTCCCTGAAAAGGACGTCAAGGCTCTCTTTTCTACCTCCTCCATGTACAGGTTGGCCACAATAGGAGAAACTGGAGACCCCATAGCACATCCATGTTTCTGCCTATAATATTGCTCCCCATATGTGAATTAAGTTGACTGCAGGCACAGTTTCAAGAGTTGACACAGTTGTTCTGTGGAAAGCGTGGTCCTGCTGCTCAGAGTGGTGTCTGATTTTAATCTTAAACTGACCACCTCTACTGCATCAACAGGAATGCACGTAAAGAGTGATGTGACATCAAAAGAGACCATTGTTTCATCAGTCTCCATGATGACATCCCTCACCTTGTCCACAAAGTCCATGGTGTTCTGTATGTGGTGTTCGGAGCTGCCAACTAAAGGGATGAGTACAGACGCCAGATATTTGGAAACTTTGTGACAGTTAATCATTTTAACAATTGGTCTTAAAGGTACACCTTGTTTGTGGATTTTAGATAAAA